GGGCAAACAGGGCAGAACTGGTTCTCCTGGCCCATGGGCACACAGCAGCGGATTCAGCCGGCTGTGCAGCGGGTTGTGTGTATGTGTGTGTGTTCCCCTTTGTTACAGCCGGGTTTAACAAAGCCAGAAAACAATATACTTCACTAAGCCTCTTCATACAAAAGAAGTGCACACTTTTTTGAATGACATTTAGAATGTTTTTTAAAAAATGCCAAATATTGGGTGTGGGTGTGTGGGGGGGTGTTGTTTCATTATGCGGGAAGAGTTGCAAGACTTTACTCCGGCTCCTGTCTTGCAGGTTCCTGTGACGTCTCCTTTCCCTCTTTTTTATTTTAACCCCGTCCGGGGGAGAGAGGCCGAGCGGGAGACACAAGCTTCCTTGATTCCTCATGGCTAGGCAAGGAGCATCCTGTCAGAGGACAGGGGAGCCCCTGTGCTCTCTCGGGCCATGCACCCCCTTGGGCTAACAGGGGGAAAAAGGTCTCCGGGACAACTCTGGGCAGAGCCCACCGGGAGGTTCCCCTACGGAGGACCTGTTGGGGTGACCGGGACCTCCGCCAGGGGTCAGCCGTTGGCAATATCACTGGGTGGCAGGGGCAGAAGAGGAGAACGAACCAGCTCTCCTCTCCCTGGCTGACCCATCCTCTCCCTCACCTTCTCCCTCACCGCATTGCCCCCCTCACACCCACACCCACACCCAGACACACATATTCACCTCAAAAATGCCCTGCCTCTTGCTAAGGCTGCCTCCTTCCAGCGTCCAGAAGTGGATGTGGGACTTTCCACAGGTAATCAGGAGCGAGGGCTCGGTGGGGTGGAAGGTGGCGGCCAGGACAGACTCGTTAGAGCACTGGAAGAGGAGGAGACAGAAGGGCTGTCAGACCGAGGGAGGCAACGCCACTCCTACGAGGCAGTACGGGGTTGGGCAAACCCCCTCATTGGGACGATTCCCAGTATCACGAGGTCAACGTGGCCCTGGGGCATTCTGGGAGTGGCGGTCCAAATAAAGTAGCCTTTGCCAGCTCTGGACGGTAGGGCTCGCGGGAAGGAAGAGGGCGGCCTCACGGTTACCTTCACGTCAGCCAGCTTCTCCTCCTTCTGCCAGTCCCAGACCGAGAGAACGTGGTCGTTGGAGTCGTCGACGGCACACAGAAGCCCACCCCCGTTCTGGGCAGGGAGAAAAGGGCACAGACGTGGTTGGGGGGGCACAGAATATAAGAAAGAGTCTCATCAGGGTTTCCTAAGAATTTCACAGGCTTTATTTGGCATAAGCTTTGATAGAGAACTGAGGCTGCGCTCCCTGCATTTGACGGTGTGGACTGCCCCCCCCCCAAGAGCTTTTGCTCCTTTCTCCTCATGCAGGAGGCAAGGAATCTCCCAAACAGACACAGCTAAGAAGGCAGCAAGCTATGGTATTAACACTCAGACATCCTTACCGATTTGGAGAATCCGACGCAGCTCACAGCTCGGTCGAAGGGCCCTGGGCCCAGGACGTGAAGGGTGTTCAGGCTCACAGAATCCCAGACTCTCACGTGGGGAGGCAAAGGCTATGGGAAGAGACAGGAAGAACGAGACTCAAGGAAGAACGAGAGGAAGCCCTTCTTGGCAAGATGGCTAATCATATAACACGTTACTGGGGACAAACAGAGGAACCCCAGGGAGGTCATGCGCTGGCAAAGAGTGTCAGCCTCTTGCTCTGCGTTTGGCGCAGGCGCCACGCCCCTCACCTTGCCATCTTTTGAAGTCCCAGCCACCTGCCCGGTTGCAATGGTTACCATGTCAGGATGCACTGCCAGGCTACGTGAGATAGAAAAAGGGCACGGGGTCACGTGCAAAGTACAGGACCTCTGCACAAGCCCACTCAGGCATGGGCCTGGGGCCGCCCCTCCCCTGCTGCAGGCAGAAAGAGAGGGAGAAATCGACAGCCACCGACACGGGGACGCCTCTCTCACCACTTGATGTCATCGGTGTGGCCCAGGTAGTGGCGCTGCCGCTGTTCCTCCACATTGTACAGGACAGCCACGGCTGCCACAAAGTACACAATCTCCCCCGTGGGCAGGAGGAAAAGGTTGGACCGACAGTCGCGGCCCCGATACCCGTAGCTGAGCAGAGAATGGTCAGTCAAGGGAAATCAAGCAGCTGAGTCGGAACGCAGAGACGCAGAGAAAAGAAGTCCCGGGAGTCCACGCTCCATTCCCACCCTCCACCCTTCCCCAAGTGGACACAGCTTTGGCCAGGATACACCCAGTCCAGCTTCAGCTTCTTATGGGGCAGTTCTGCCTTGGCATCCAGGCTGTAGGTGGCCACAACAGCGTCAGGAACGAACATGGGGATGGGCCTTCCCCGCAGGAACATCTTCACGTAACCATCCTCTGCAAGGGGGTTGGGGGAGGGAGGGAGGGAGAAGCTAAGGGAGGCCAGCCAAGGCATTACTTTCCCTGCAACTCAGCCCAAAAGACCTCCAGGTCCTGGAGACCCCAAAAAGCATCTGCTGCCACTTCACAGAGTTCCTGGCTCTTTTCTGAACTCAGCAGACAAGTCCTCCCCTCCCTTCTTCTTCCTCCTCCCCACCTCTCACGCAAACACGCTCCAGATGAGGCCTGCAAAGAGCTGATCTCCCTTAGGGAAGAAAGAACCTTCTCTGGGCAAAGCCACTTAAGGCCGTCCTGAACGGTAATGGCCGGAGAGCTTCTACACAACCCACTATTTTCAAAACTCTGGACTCTTTCGAAGAAATGCACTTGGGCTCTCAGGCCCCTTTTCACATCCTCAAGCCTGCTCTCTCGCGCTCACTCACTCACGCAACCAGACACACGCCAAGCCTTCGGTCTTTGGCTTTCACCCCTCAAGGGCCGGAGCTGATTCCCATCTTTGGACCAATTAATTCACTCTCTCTAGTTCCCAAACCTTTCAAAATGCAGAGCCCAGGCACCTTTACTCACCAGCGCTGAAGGTGGCTTCTTTCGGTTTGCTGTGAAAGGAAGAGGGTGTGAACAGATTAAGACATAATTGGGAGGGGGGACAGAACAGGGGGAGTCCTGTCTCCCCACCCCACTCCTCTGGCTAAAGAGTGAGCTGGACTTACAAGGCTCTGCATGCCCCCCCAGAACCTGACAAGGAGAGGGGAAGAGTTTTCCCTGACCTTTGACAGCCAGCACCCTTTTCACCCCTGCCGTGCCCCCCCCATCTCATTTCTCCTCCCCTCCCCCACTCCTTTCCTGGCAATGCAATCCAGCCCCTGCTGTCCTAAGGCCTTGAGCAAGGGTTCAGTCCAGATCTCTGGGAAGCCTCTCCCTCCTTGCGCCAGATGATCAACCCTCAATGCATGGTTGCTCTCCCCCTGATGGACAAAATGCTGGGCAATCGTTCTGTGACATCAGAGCATGTCAGCCAATGGGAGGAGGGGGTGCTGCGCAGGGGTGGGTGCAAAGCCCCAGGGAGACAAGCCGCGCCAGCGCTGCCGAAGCCTGTGAGAGGAAGGCATCCCTCTAGGAGCTCTACCGCACAGGGGCGTTGTCAGCCCTGGGTGTCTGGGGAAGGGACTGAGAGATAGGGGGGCTTAACCGTATGGACACTTAGCATTCTTTACAATATTATGCTTTCAGCTCCCTGAGCTGTCATCCAAAAAAAAAGGGGGGGGGACATTTCCAGACGAGTGGGGTGGCCAGCAGGAGGAGAGGCGCTGGGATGGCTGGCAAAGGCTGAGAGGCCTCTCTGTTGGGTGGAGGTGGGGACCCAGAAGAGGCGGGCCGTTCTTATGCTTGCTCTTGTTCCTGCTGGAGTTTAAAAGATGCCAAAGCCCAGTTTATAAACATTTCCCCCTCCCCACCCTTGTGGATTTTCTGAGCAGCCCAGCTGCATAACCGCTGTGGTTTCTGAGCTTTTATCT